AATTTAAAATGGTTTCTCATCCGAGTCTTTTCTTTCTTATTTTTAAAAACAATTTGCCAGAGGGCATGTGTGTTCACTAAAGAAAGAAAAAGTGAGAGAGAGAGAGAAATAAAGCAAGAAAGCCTCAATGGGGCAATGTCATGCCATAATCCCTTTTCTATTTCTCCTTCCTTTCTGGATTTTGGGCATGCAGAAGAGCCAGGGCATATCTTTTAAGCCACCAGGTATGGCACTGGAATTGAAGGTAGGTCATGTGGGATCCAGGCCATACTTTATCTGGGCTGTAGGCATTTTTAAAAACTGTTCATGAGGAAGTTTAGGAAGTTTTACTCTTGCTTTACTGGTTTACTCTTACTACCAATGGTGCCTATTCATGCAGCAGTTATGATATGAAGATGTAGGGCCAAGGTCATAGTGTGATAAAGATAGGCATTGGGGACCAGCAGCTGGCGTAATGGCTATGTTGCTGGACTCCCACTTAGTCAACCTCAGTTCGTGTCCCCAACCGGTGTCTTAAAACTCACGCCGGCATCTGCGTGCATGCCCAAGATCCCAAGAGGGGAATGGAGGAGAAGGGATTGTGGTGTGGCCATCCCCCCTGGGGGGTGATTTCTCGCTCTCTGTCTCTCTGTTTCTGTCTGTCTGGCGAGCAGACGTAAAAAAAAAACACCCAAAAAAAAAAAAAAAAAAAAAAAAAAAAAAAAAGAAAAGAAAAAAAGATATGCATTCATGATTTTGCATTTACTTCTTACAGAAGGATCCTAAGTGGTGTAAACTTAAGCCCCTAAAACCAGGATCCTTACTTGCAGCAATGCACACAGGACCAAACAGTAAGCTGTTATGTGAAAGATGAAGGTCTGAACAAAGGCTGTAGCTGTGTAAACGGAAAGGATCAAAATATAAGCAGCACTTAGGAGACCCAACTGAAGGCCCTTGTTTTGATTTGGTGGCCCAATCATGAAGGATATTAGAAGACATGCCAATGTGACCGGCAGGCGACGAGCCCAGTTTCAAGCTTGTAGCGTTTCAGGTGTCTGATGGAGGAAGAGGCCAGTACGCAGTGCCGCTGAGCACCTAGGTGTTGGGCATATCCTATTTGCTATATTTTCCATTCCCTGGAGGCGACTTATCAGGCTTTTTTTTTGGTCTGGCTTTCCCTTTCCGAGGCCCTGAAACAGAAGCTACTCCTCTGCCCTCGGAGGTTTCCAGTGGCGCCTGCTCACCGGATGTGGAAGCAGCACTTCCGCCCCAGAGGCATTGCTCTGGGGACCAGGGCGCAGGGCGGCCCCGGGCTCTAGGCCTGGTGTCTCCTGAGCAGGCGCGACCTTTGGGTGTCTGGGTCTCTGCATCCATTTCGGCAGGGTATGTTTGCTCACTAAGTGAGTGTGTTTTTCCCACCTAATTTCCCAAACCTCCCCCTGCCTGGCAGGAAGTTCGGCGCCTTCCCGAGGGCTTTTCAGCTTTTCAGGTCCCCGTGCGCCAAGGCCCCATCCTAGAGCAGAGGAGCGCACACTGATTTCCCAGGTGGGAAACGCAGGGCTCATTAACTTCCGTGGTTTTGCACAAGCTGGTCTACAGTCTGCGGTGACGTTTTGGCTCCAACAGATGAACCTGGAATTAAGGGAGACAGTTCTCGGCGACTCAGATACCTATTTCTGAAAGTTTTCTCCAGTAAAAGGACCAGGGTAATTGTAGCTTCCTGGAGTCGCAGGTTAGCTGATGTCCCTGAGTGAACTGGAAGAATTCGAGATTCCCACTGTGTCGCGGTAAAGCTTTGCCACTGTGGAGGCTAGCTCAGAACAGTTTAACCTTGTCATTACTAACAGTTGTAGAACAAATAGAAATGTATGTATTGCCTAGCGTAGTGCTTAAAAATTCTAAATGAGGACTGGGACCAGCAATTGGCGTAATGGCTATGTCGCTGGACTCCCATGTCGACCGCGGTTCGCCTCCTGGACCCAGTGGCTTAAAACTCAAGCCGGGCGCGTGTGTGTGCGTGTCCAAGATCCCGAGAGGAGAATGGAGGAGAAGGGATTGTGGCGTGGCCAACCCCTTCCTCCCCTCGATGATTTCTGGCTTTCTGTTTCTTTGTCTCCGTCTGATGAGCGCTGGCGCCCTATAGCAAAAACATCTCAAAAAAAAAAAAAAAAAATCTAAATGAGATGCTCGAGAATACCACAATGTAGTGGACTAGAGTAGTGCAGTGGGGAATTTTGACACTGGTGATTTAAAGTGTGAACTCGAACTACTATAATTGTATCTTGGACTTTGAGTTAGACATCACACCTCAGTGAGGCTTACTCTTATCACCCTTTAAAAACAAGTAATCTGTCCGACTCCCATCCCCCTTACCTACTTGAAATTTTTTTCCCACGCAGCACTTCTTGGTTTGTAACATAAAGCGTGATTTACTTATTATAGTCATCGTTTATTTGGTCTGTGAATGCAGATTTTTTTTTTCCTGTTTACTTCACATTACTTCACATTTTAAAGGCCAAGAACAATTCTGGCCTATAGTAGGCTCTCAATAAATATTTATTGAATATATGAAAGAATTATACATTATTTTCCAGAGAGAATAAAGTAGAGTTGGAGGTGAGCTTACATGATTGATGGAGCCTAGGTGCGAAATAACTCTGTTGTAAATCCTAGCAGTAGAGGAAACTAAGAAGTTCACATAGGTTTATAAATCTTTGTGTTACTCCAAATGACAGCTTTCCATATTCCCCAGAAGTTAGCATTTCTTTTCCACTAAGCATCTGGATACTTTCTGTCTTATACTTTTTGATGTTCTTTGGGGACAGGGCTCTGTGGTTTGCCTTTGTGTTCTCCATAGCATGTTCTACAGTGATCTGGACACGCCAGGCAATAAATACTTTCCAGAGCAGAGCAATGAACTGGCTTAAGACAGTAGATTACTTGAATAACTAGTTATTTATCACATGAATATTTTAGTGTTATAATACTGTAGCACTAGTGTTTTGCAAACTGGGATCTGTTATGCTGAAGGATTTGCACGTTTTCTATGATGATTTCTGGGTTTTCATTTCAGTGAAAATCTGAAAAGTCACTTAAACATATTTTGGTAGTCTGGATAGCCAGAAATTGGCAGTAGGTTTTAGTGTCCCTGTTTGTTGTGTGTCTTGTTTGAGCATGTTACCCCAGGGAATGCAGTACTTCGTTGCAGGTTAAAAAAAATTGACACAGACTACAAGAATAAATTATTTACCCCAAATGAATCCCAAATGACATTAAGCCACTTTGTTGGAAGAGTCATAGCAATTTAAAAGGAGAGAAGGGGGTGAAAAAAATTAGTAAGATGTAAAATAGAAGTAATATCTCCCTGTTTTGAGAGGTGATTCAGTTTTAGCAAAGTCTAACTTTGTACGGTGTTTTTATAGTTACAATAGCTATAAATTAAGGAATGAAAACATAAAAACATTTTTATGTTTTATATATTTAAGTAATACAATGAAAGTAGTTTAGGTTTAGATGTAGGATCTTGAAAATATGTCTTCACTTTTAGTGATTTTTAGTGGGGTGTTTATATTTTACTCAAGTTTGTGAAAAACTGCTTTACAAAGCTTTAGGCTTCAGGGCCCAGGACATAGAATATTTATTTCAATGAAGTCTAGGTGTGACAGTTGAATGTAGGACATCTATTTCTCCAGCAGCTATGGCTTAGTGGTTCCCGTGGTCATGAAAAATAGAAGGAGGGATCTTAATAAAAATGTAGAAAGTGGTTGGAGAAAATGGAGAAATTTTAGAAATAACTCGGAGTTTTCTATGCAATCTAGCTTTTGTCTGGCTTTCAGTTTGATAGTTCTCTTTATTATAGGGCATATGCACTCACGAGGGAGAGAGAGAGAGAGAGAGAGAGAGAGAGAGAGAGAGATTGATTGATTGATTGGGAAAGTTGAGAAATCACCCTCTGAGGGGGATGATCATGCTGCAATCCCTTCTCTCCTTTCCTCTTGGGATGTGGGCACACATGCACATATGCCCTGAGTGTTTTTCAGCTTGCTGGGTCTGTTACTTGAACCACACAGTTGGTAATGTGAGATCCAGTTGTCTTACCCACCATGCCACCTAGCTGGCCAAGAGTTCTCTAATAGTAAAATTTGTATGTAACAGTCTTTTGACAGTATTTTTGTTTCCACATTTAAAAGAAAAAAGATGTTAATCAGTATTACCGTAGGTGATGCAAATCTCTGTGCTTGGTTTGGAGTACTGAGAGACCTAGCAAGCTATTTAAAGCCATTGTGATAGGAGATTAGAATACTTATTTTCTGGAATTGTTCTGTCCCCTTGACTGGCACAGCCACCTCATTCCTGACCCTGCAGTGGGAAATAGAAGAAGAAAGAAATGAGATGAGGTTTTATTTTGATTTATTCTAATAGAAGGGATCAGGTATTATTTCAGAGTCAAGATTTCTGCCACGTCTAGAGCACTATTGTCTGGAGTTCAGTCAATAAACAAATATTTGTTGAGCACCTACTATGTGTCAGGAGTTATATAAGAAACTGAAGATAGTAAACAATACAGAGACCCTGCCTTTGAGACTTATATAACACTAATACTTGATTTTTTTCTAGCATGTATCTTCACTTGGTATACTTTATTTCAGTATGAGTGGACAATTTGACAACTTTGAGTACTTTTATTTTTTTCAGTTGTTTTTGCCTTATGGTGTTTTTGTTTGCCAGAGACAGAGGGAATCCAATAAAGTGAGAGGGAAAGTGAAAAATCACCACTTACGGGGACTGACCATCCTTTGTCATCCTGGGATCTTGGGCACACATGCACACACATCTGGCATGATTTTCAAGCCACCAGGTCTGGGACTCGAACCACTGTCAGCTATGTGGGAGTCAGCAGCATAACTGTTACACTACCTGCTGGTCCCTTTTTAGAGTGTCTTTAGGCTGATTTTTCTGAAAATACATACAAATAGAAAACTCAAATTAAATTGTTCTTTTTAATCTTTCTCTTACTTTAGGGGTGTTATGAAAGTTGACATCAATCTTCAGAAAGTAGACATTGACCAATGTTCGAGTGATGGCTGGTTTTCAGGAACTCACAAATGCCACCTTAACAATTCAGAGCCATTGGGTCCAGGATTCAAAACGCAGTCTGCCAGAGAAGAAGAAGACATTGACCAATGTTCGAGTGATGGCTGGTTTTCAGGAACTCACAAATGCCACCTTAACAATTCAGAGGTAAGAACATACAAATAAAATCCTTTGAAATCAGAAGCTCAGAAATGTATTAGTTTTGAACACTGCTCTTTAAAATGGGCTAGAAATTTAAAATAACCGTGAAGTAAGAACCTAGTCCCAGGAGGGTCAGCTGGGTTATATACAGTTTTATGGAATATGCTGCTTATTGAAACATTGATGAAATTCATTCAGAAAGGCCACCGTCTGCTAGAAAAGCTAAGAGATGGTGTGGTAAGGCAATTTTGAAAGCAAAGAGAAAACTGTATACAGGGACCTGGAAAGGATTTGTGTATATTTGTGTGTTTTCTTCAATTTTCAACTCCTATCTGTGCTTGATTTGATGGGACTCTGATTGATGAGAAGAAGGAATAGGGGCTATGCTTCTGGAAATAAGACTGTTACTTGTCTCTTATAGTTTCAGAGAAGAATTGTGATGAAATACTAATGATTTCATTTTCAGTAATCTGTCTCTGAGCTCCCAAATGCTATGAAACAAATACGCAATAAAGTTTCTGATTTTAGGTAACTTGAGCTATATCAACATTGATTCCATGAATTTATGAGGAAAGCCAGCTTGAGTTATTTCAAATACAGGAAATATTTCCACAATTGCAGTCATGTACATCTTTAATTTGAAGTTTTCCCACTTATGAAACATGGTTGGATATAGTGCATGTAGTGTAATTTTAAGGTAAGGAATTTTAAATCAGAAGGAAATTTAACAATACACACTTATATATGCCATTACACAAAAAAACCCTACACAGACATGGACACATGATCATTCCTTTGCGTGCATATATGCATGCCCATTGCATGTTTACCATGTGCACACCCCACCACACATAGCCCTGCCACACAGCCCACCTTCCCTATACTCCCACACCCTCAAATGTCCCCACATGCCCTGTAACTCCACACACCACTCCACCCACCCCCACACTCTCCATCATGATATCTCTTAGCTCTCTTGCCCCTTACCACCTAGAAGCCCTCATAACTGCATCCTCTAGGTCGGTGACACCTCTCTACCATATCCTCTGACCCCCTTCACTTCCTCAGTAACTCCACACACATTCCCACTCATTTGCCCACCTCCTTACCACATCTCTGTACACCTCTACACAGATAGCCCCCACAGCTGCCTTTCCTTCCCCACCCTACTAATGGGACCCAATGACATCTCTGAGCCCTTTGTCTTCTTAGCTCATGAAAGTTAAGAGCCTCCTGTTGTCACTTTTCCCTGTTTATTCTTATGGTTTTGAATGTGTCTGAGCTTCCACTTCCCTTTGGTTCACATCCTTCCAAAGATGTGAGTCTTAATCATCAATTTGGTAAATATCTTCAGCATACACATATAGCCACTTAGAATTGTTTTTAAGCCAGAGCGGACTTTTTTCTGTGTAGGTGTCATATCGTGAATATTGATCTGTGTGTGCTCATTTCTGTATAGCCTTGTTTCAGCAGTGCTCATGGTGGTTCAATAAGCAGTCTGCCTGGAAACAAGCAGATACTTAACTTTCAGTTGGTTTCAGTTGCTTCTTGCCTCTAATAATCTTGGTGTGGTTTTGTGTCCTATGACACATCTCTGTTTTAACTCAATGGTCATATTACAAAAACCTCTTTCTCCTTTTGGAAGTTTGATTTATTTTTGTTGTGTCAAGATTACTAATTTTGGGGGTTTGATGTCTTTTGAAAACTTTCAGATCTAATTATTTAAAGATAAAATATAATTCTTGTTTATTAACAAAGATAGGTTTGAAATGTGTAATATGGGGAATTATATATGGGAGCATTATATTCATTTAGTTTCTTTTAAAAAAACTGGAAAGAATATATCCTATAGGACAACTGGTAGTTCAAACAATTTTATTTGAAAATGTCATAGAAAGAGGTTCAGTGATGAAAAGATACTATCAAAAACCCTAGATCTACAACATGCGTATTAGGACTTAGAATTTGGATTCCTCCTTTCCTTACCAAGGTAGCAGAGTAGGGAGAAGGGGACTTTCATGTCCTGGGTTGGGTCCATGAGGCTGCTGGTGGGTAATCTGCCCTACACTGGGCTGTTGTGGAACTTCTCACACTTTTTGGTTGGGCTTCTCTTAGGTCTTGTAGTTGGTGCTGGCCATTTGTGGCCCTGCACCAATTCTATACCACATCCTTAGTCTAGGTACTAGAAGAAGTCAGTCATTCAGTACCTTCCCTCCACTGATATGAGTTAGAGATAAGGAACAGTCTTCTCCTAAAGTTTTTAATGCATGGGAAAACAGCAGGAAAAAAAATCTATGTGACTTTTTTTTTATTATTAGTTTTTCAATCTATTCTGGCTCAACTTTAATCTTTGTCACGAATATTTTAATTAACCCACCCCATGTTAATTATTTTTTAATTAAAAAAAAATTTTTTTGAGAGGTTTTTGCTATAGGGCGCTTGCGCTCGCCACACAGACAGAGAGAGACATAGAGACAGAAAGCGAGAAATCACCCTCCAGGGGGGATGGTCACGCCGCAATTCCTTCTCCTCCATTCTCCTCTCGGGATCTTGGGCACGCACGCACACATGCCTGGCGTGAGTTTTAAGCCACCAGGTCCAGGATGCGAACCATGGTCGACTACATGGGAGTCCAGCGACATAGCCATTACGCTAACTGCTGGTTCCCCCCACGTTAATTATTTTTACATGTTAAGTACTTTTTTTTTGAGAAGTACTTAACATGATTCACAATGGAAGGATGTAGGATCTTGTCGTTATGAGTATCCATATCCTCAGAAATGAAGATGCTTATCACGATTTATAGTGGGTTTTATCTTGCCAATTTTTAACATTCTTTTCTTGTAAATAATAGAGGAAGTTACAAATTTTAAAGTTGTAAGACAGGAAAACTTTTCATTTAAAAAATTTATCCGGCACATTGGCTTTTCAGTCTCCAGGGTGTTTTAAACCAGAATAGCAGGTCTGATGTTGGAAAGTGATCTTGAGCATGCACGCACATGCGCCCGGTGTGAGTTTTAAGCCACCGGGCCCGGGACTCAAACTGTGGTCGACTACATGGGAGTCCAGCGACATAGCCATTATGCGAACTGCTGGTCTCGAAGATCTGTTATTTTGAAGGACATAGTAAAACAAGATCTGAACCAATACTCTGAATTGTACTGCAAGAGTATTTTGGTTGTCTTCATCACCTATCCAGATCATTGCAAAAATGGACTTGGCCATGTTCAGTATCATTTAAATAATTTTTCACCTATTTTCATAACAATGCTTTGAATACACAAAATCCTCTCTTATAGAATTTATTTATTTATTTACTTATTTTTGAGAGGATTTTGCTGTAGGGCATGTGCACTCACCAGAAAGACAGAGACAAAGAGACAAAAAGTGAGGAATCACTCCCCCCCACCCCAAGGGGATGGCCACACCACAATCCCTTCTCCTTCATTCTCCTCTTGGGATCTTGGGCATGCACGCACAGGCGCCCAGCATCAGTTTAAGCCACCGGGTCTGGGACTCGAACCGTGGTCTACTACATGGGAGTCCAGTGACATAACCATTACTCTTAACTGCTGTTCCCAATAGAATATTTAAAAAAAATCATAAAGCGAATTGTTATTAATTTTTGTCTTAAAGATTTTCTTTGCTTTGTTTCCATTAGAAGAATTTCTAAATTATTATTTGAAGTAGGAACCATTAGGAGAATGGCCTTGAAACTTTTTGTTTATATTCCATTAGTAAAAATGCTTTCAACATCAACCTAATGTTTGTATATATTGTAAATTTACAGAGTATATGTATCTTTTGTTATGGCAATATATTTTATATACTGTAAATTTAAACATTAATAAGATTGAGATAAAGATAAAGATGAAATAATATTTTAATATAAACTACATTATTTTCTAAAAGAATTATATCTTTAAGGAGAGAATGTAGTCGATTGGCAATTTTTACAAAATTTTTAGTTAAACTGCTATGATTGATCATGTGTCATCATTTTTGAAAATCTTAATTTAATACTTAGTTATGTAGTGATTCAGAGGTCTCTAAGTTCAGTTTATTTTTAGACTTAAAATAAATTTATGTTATCTGTCATAGTTGAAAGGGATGTCTCAAAGGAATATATCCATCCAAATTGTTGATTGTGTTTGCTAAATTCTGATGTTCATTTTTTGGACCCTATGTACTAATTTTGCAGTGAGTTTTACAGAAATATAGCTGATATGTTTCATCTTACCTGAAATCAATTGGTTCCTACAAACTAAACTGCAAGGTTGGGATCTTAGTATTTTAAAAGGAATATATTAAAACCTTGCTGAACCTCTTCATATTGAATATTTAAAAATAGAATTAGGAAATTTTATTTTCAAGTTTAAATTATAGAGCTATGTGGTATTTATAATTTTTGGCAACAAAAACTACATAACACTGAAAATACTTTCAAATACCCATTTCAAAATACTCACTTCAAAAAATTTTTTCTCATGGATTTTAAGATCTAATTTTTTCCTTTGAAGGAATGGTTTCTATATATATTTTAAGAGAGACTTGCTACATAGACATTTTTGATAACCACTTGTTATCACAGAATAGACCAGCTAATTTGAAACAATTTTCTTGTTTTGTAAATATTTCCTTTTTTTTTTTTTTTTTTTTTTGTAAAGAGAAATGCTTAAGCAATCTTTAAGCCTTGAAACAAGTACTTCACTTTGACATCATCTGATTTTCTGGGTCACATACTATCTCAGTATGAAGAATTACAAATATTTTGAAAATTCAATGAATGTACTCTGTGAATCCACTTACATGGCCAAATTCAAATGTTAATAAATTGAAATGTAAAAGTAAATGCAGGTGGGGGCCATCCAGTGGCATGGGGGTTAAGGTGCTGGACTCCCACATGGTCAGCCACTATTTGAGTCCTAGACCTGGCATCTTGCTTTCTCACTCCTGGCCCCATCTCTCTCTGGTGAGTGCATATGCCCTATAGAAAATTAAAATAA